AAATCTCTCCTCCAGAAAGCATTTCATTACTAAATATTGCTTAATCATATGCATAACCAATAGCATAGCTATTATAAGCATTTATAATTGATATTCTTTGTATTTAAAGAGATATAGAGACACCATGTATGGGTGTTAGGCTGGATAAGGTAGAGAAAAATAAAAAACAAAAAACAAAAAACAAAAAACAAAAAACAAAAAACAAAAAACAAAAAACAAAAAACAAAAAACAAAAAACAAAAAACAAAAAACAAAAAACAAAAAACAAAAAACAAAAAACAAAAAACAAAAAACAAAAAACAAAAAACAAAAAACAAAAAACAAAAAACAAAAAACAAAAAACAAAAAACAAAAAACAAAAAACAAAAAACAAAAAACAAAAAACAAAAAAAACCAACTGGACTAGCAGAAAGTCCTCAAGCTTGAATCCAAGAGGCCTGGCTTTGAATCTCAGCACTGGTTCCCACTTAGAATGATATGGCCACGAAGTACAACTAAGTGCCTGTTACAGGCTGAACTGTGTCCCTCCCCTACAAATTCACACATTGTAGGTCTCACCTCAGGATCTTAAAATGTAACCTTGTACAGATACAGGGTATTTAACAAGGTAATTAAGCTAAAACGAGATCATCATGGTGGGCCTTAATCCTGTATGATAGCCGTCTTATAAGAGATTTGGACAGATAAATGTAGAAGGAAGGTAATGTGAAGACAAAGGGAGAAGACAGCAAGCTACAAGCCACGGAGAGAGGTCTGCCTGACACAGATCCTTCCCTCAGACCTTCAGAAGGAATCAATGCTGTTGCCACTCTGATCTCAGACTTACAGTCCCCAGAACTGTAAGAAATCTTTCTATGTTTAATCCACCTTGTCCGTGGTAATTTGTCACAGGTGCTCTAGCAAGTTACTACAGTACCTTAGTTTTCTGAGGAAGACTGGGGATATTCCTAGTTGTTTCATGAAATTTGTATAAATTAAATCATAAGAATAGAATAAGGATGGTAATTTTATCTATAATTTACTGATAACAATGTTGGTACAGTAAGTAAGTGCTCAATACTTTCCAGAGTTCGTGAACGTCTAGCATGGTGACTGCCACATAGGACCATTTTTGTTTACTTAATTTTACTCATTTTTTCCTTCTTTGCAATGAAGAGATGACAAACTGAAATTACACTGTGATGAAGGGAGGGAGATATAAAAATTAGGAAGAAAGAAGTAAAAAGAGCCTATAAAAAGAAGAAACTATCATATTGTCAAAGGAAGAGCAAACCAGATCAAAGACTCCTTACAACAGAGAGTAAGAATCAAGACTCTGAAGTAGTAAGGGTAAAACAGGAACTAGTGCCCAGGCTGAACAGAGAGGTACAGAAAGTACTTTGTAGGTTTACTTGGTCAGAACTGTCACAACATGTCTAAGTTTTTATTTTATGTGATCGTATAGTTTGCATACTGCCTGTGACTTAATTGCTTTACCAATATTAATAGTAAAGATGATCATGAAGTCATATATAACATTATGTTGACTATTTCCATTTCCTTTTTAGCTTTCTGAGTTACTGACACATTATTGCAGCAAAACATATGTAGGGTCAATTCATGCTGAATAGTTATTAGAAACCATGATAACAAAAGTCATTACACTGCAGTTCAGTTTTGACAGTAAAATTTCTGCAACATTATCACAAATCCTCATGCATTAGTGCAATGATCCTTACTATAGTTTCATATTAGAATCAAAAGATTGCTGTAGCATGCTTGATACAAAAAGTCAAGCAAGCCAAATTCTTTTCTGCCTTTACCGATAACATTTTTGCTCTTTTTCTGTGTACATCATGCAGGCAGTAGCTTTGTTTTATATACTTTTCTCAATAATCTGTTCGTATTTTGCAAATACCCTTCTTTAAAATGAGGAATTTACCTTGAAACACCATACAATTCTGATGCTAAGCACCAGAAGAAATAATTTGAAAATCATTTTATAGCTGATTCAATCTCACAAAATACTAAACATTATATTATTCAACAAATTATCTTTCTTTTTATCAGATTATGTATTGACTGTGTGTTTCTGTTGTTTCCTTTTTTTAATTAGTGATTTATTATGGTGGAATATAAAAGATTGGAAGAAGATTTTTCACATTCAGGATTACTTAGAAAAGCTGTGAGAATTACCCTTCAGCTGATAAAAATATTTTAATGCCTATATGTCCACACCATTTTCCATAAAAATTATTAACAAACTATTAAAGGATCAGACTATATACACTCAGGCTCCATTTCAAGAAAACAGAAAAAGAAAAACAAACAAGCTTGTAAACTGCCTAGTGAATGAATTAAGGAACTTTCAAAAATCAAGTGATTTCTTCCTTAGCAGGAGAGTCATGTATACATAGAAGATAGATAATCAGAACACGTTTTAATTAGGCAAAATATGTTCTCTGGAAATTTGAATACAGAGAAAATTCTACTGAATTGACCATACTTTAAGTGATCGTTTGGTTCATTATGGTACTCAAGCTGCTCAGGAGGTAAAAATTCTTTGAAAAAATACAAATAATCATCCTTAAATTGTTTGATATGCAATAATTGGAATGTTCTAAATTTTGACACAGATTTTAAGATTCTAATATAATAACTTAGCTAAAATGCATCTGTTTGCATGGCTATAGGAGACAAAGCAATAGCTAGATGTTTTAACCATTATAATCATAAAATCATAAGTTTATTGTTTGTTTTTTTTTTTCTTTTTTTGGAGAGGTTTTTTTTCGCTATAGGGCACGTGCGTTCACCAGACAGACAGAGAGAGACATAGAGACAGAAAGCAAGAAATCACCCCCCGGGGGGATAGTCACGCCGCAATTCCTTCTCCTCCATTCTCCTCTCGGGCACGCACGCACACGGGCCCGGCGTGAGTTTTAAGCCACCGGGTCAGGGACGCGAACCGCGGTCGACTACATGGGAGTCCAGTAACATAGCCATTACGCTAACTGCTGGTTCCCAAGTTTATTGTTAATAATGATAATTTATTTCAGTTGGGCACATCTGCGGTTTGTATGTCACTATTGTTTAATAGAATGTGACAACTTTACAATATAAATTTTTCTTTATTCATGATAGAGCACATGCATGCTCATTTGAAAGAGGCAGAGTGAGAGAGAGAGAGATGAGCACTCTCCACAGGGTCTGGTCATGCCACAGTCCTTTTCCTTTACTCTCCAGCCCCATTGGACCTTGGGCACTTGATCAATGTCCAGCACGTTTCGGAATAGAGCCAGGATTCCACCCACACCACCGTCCCATGTGAAAACCAGCCTTTCTTGAACAGTGCTTTACCACTGCACCACAAAGCTTATTCTACACTGTATTTGGATTTCAGAAAATCTTTTCTAGTACAAGATAATTAAGTTCATTTCTGTAAAGATTTCGTTGACTCAGTACAGTTATTTCATAATAGAACACAAATAATGACAGCTTTTCAGTTTCATTTTCTACATAAACTACACAATCTGTAAAGTCTGCTGCATAATCTCATTTAATAACAACAGCAAATATAACAAAAATATATGTAACACTTACTATGTGTCAAATACTGTATGAGAGCCTTATACATATTAAATTATTTATCAGGAAGCCATATGAATTAGGTTTTGCTCTAATTCTAATTTTACAGATGAAGAACCAGAGGCTCAGAAAGGTAAATGACTTGCTCAAAATCTAGTAGAAGCTAGTAAGCAACAGAGCAGGATTCAAACCCAGGCAATCTGGCTTCACACTACACACTTCTGCCCATTTTATAATCTGTCTTTTGTTAAAAACACCATATGTGTATTTCAGTGTATTTCACTAATGTTAAGTTCTTGGTATATACACTGTCAATTTTTTCTTTAAAGAGAGTATTTTTTAGTTTTTTTTTTTTTAACTTTTACATTTAGGTCTGCAATCCATATTTATTTATTTATTTTAATGCTGGAGGGAGTATGCCATCATCACAGGAAAAGCAAGCAAGAGAGAGAGAAAGCAACCCCTGATGGGGTGTGGTCAGGCTGAAATCACCCTTCCTCCATTTTTCCATTTCTTTCTTTCTTTTTTTTTGCTATAGGGTGTGTGTGCTTTTCAGAGAGTCAGAGAGAGACAGAGAGTCAGAAAGTGAGAAATCACTGCCCAAGGCGAATGGCCACGTCACAGTCCCATCTCCTCCATTCTGCTTTCAGTGTGAATTTTAAGTCACCAGATCTGGGACTCGAACTGCAGTTGACTACATGGGATCGAGTAACATAACCATTATGCCATCTGCTGGTCCCCATTTTTCCATTTCTTCAGGATTTGGGGCAGGTGTGCACATGTGCCTGGCATGATTTACAAGGCACCAGAGCCAGGACTTGAACCATGGTTAACTATGAGGGATCTGTTATCCAACGCACTCTACCAACCACTAAGTTTTGGGACCAGCCCCACAAGGAATATTTACAGTAAAAAATCTTACCAATAGTGACAATGCCACTATTATCATTGTAAAATATTACACTAATCAGGTGGATGAAGATGTTCTCATGTTACTTTAATTTACATTTTCCAAGCACTCCAAGAATGCATCTCTCATATTTAGAAACTGCTTTGTATTTCTTTAAATATTCAATAAAGACAAGACATACCAAGGCAATATCTGTTGGGCATTTTTTCCATTTTTCTGTTAGAGAAGTGATCCTTTAAGTGAATTGAATAACATTCCATGTAGTAAAATATTAAGTTCATGTTTGTCACAGATGTTAAAAATATTTCCTATATTTTTAAACCTACAGATATTTCAATTTTTATGTCAGTAAATATATAGAGTATTTTTAAAGATTTTTCCTTTTCATTACATTGATAAAAAACTTTCCTCATGCCAAGACCAGATAAATATTCAACTACACTTTATCATTTAACTCTTTAATTATTACTATTTTTTGACATGGTACAAGTTAGGATTTACTTGTATTTGTTATTTTTCCAAAAAGTGTAGGCTCTAGAACGTTTTGTTCCAAGATTGGATCCTGGAGAGAGCAGACCACGGGGTGATGCAGGCACTGGGCTTCCCACATGGCCGGCCACAGTTTAAGTCCTGGACCTGGTGGCTTGTTTTCTCACTTTCTCTCTGTCTCTGGTGAGTGCATGTGAAGAAATAATGATAATAACTAGTAAAATAAAATAAATAATTATTTTTAAAAAATATTGTGTCTTATTAATTTGCATTTCCACATTTTTATGTAATAAATTGTTTTGCATTCTATGACTTCTTTCTAGACGTTTTGTGTGATAGCATTGAATTTTCTGTCTTTGTTACATGTTACAGTTTATCTTAGTTTATTATTTGTTTGAAAATGAGTTAGAATAAATGTTCTCTTAGTATTTTCTGTATAATTTTCTTGCCTACATTCATATTTCAGTGAAAAATAATTTTGTCAGGTTCCAAAAAGATTTCTTTTCATTTACTGCCTAAGTCATGTGTCCTCACTAGAAATAGCGAGAGAAAAAACATAGCCGTGTTGGGATGTGGTTATACCACAATTCCTTACTTTCGTTTCATTCTTTCAGGATTTGGGGCACACATGCACGTGTATCCAGCACATTTTTTAACTCCAAGGCTGGGATTCAAACTAAAGCTGGCCATGTGGGACCTGGCTCCCTATGCATAGCACTTAACCACAGTGCTACAGGATCAACTCCCCACCCCCGAAATTATTTAGAATACATGTGGAATTGCCTTAGGATTATACTATGAACATACTAGATCCAACCAAATTAAAATATTGAGTATCACAATTGCATGTGTTGTTTTATCATCTCCACATGTAAAATTTTGCTAATTTCTTCATGAAAGTCCTAATGACATATTTCATATTAGAATATTTCTAGGACATTTTTATTTGTTGTAGCTATAGTGAATGGTATCTTTTCACAAATATAAATGTTATCATTGATGTTTGGTTTTATAAGATTTGGATTAACACTCTTTAACCCATGTGTCATTGCTAGCTCTATCCCTCAGGCCTGCTCAGAAACATGTGTATGTACATGTTAACCTTTGGTCAATTTTACCTGGCCAGGAGGTGTCTGCCACAGCTCTATTTCAAATAGCATGTGCTGGATTTTTCCAATTATCATAATGTCGCTATCATCCTATACTTCTGTCCTCCCTCTGTACTATACTTCTGTCCCATGACTCACCCCATATTCTCAGTTTGCATCAACTATCTGATAACTTTCATAGACTGGAAGGTCATCTATAATCATACAACCATGCCAAAATTTGATACAAGTGTTATATATATCTAAAGGATGAATAAAAGTGTTAGTAGCCACATATCGTACGTGCAAAATATACAGTTTGTGCAAAACTATTTCTGGTGGTTTTGTTCTTAAAATATATATTTATTGGGACCAGCAGTTAGCTTAATGGCTATGTCGCTGGACTTCCATGTGGTCGACCGCTATTCGCATCCCGGACCCGGTGGCTTAAAATTCACGCCGGGCACGTGTGCGTGTGTGCCCAAGATCCTGAGAGGAGAATGGAGGAGAAGGGATTGCGGTGTGACCATCCCCCCTGGGAGGTGATTTTTCACTTTCTGTCTCTCTGTCTCTCTCTGTCTGCCTGGCAAGTGCACACGCCCTATCACAAAAACCTCTCAAAAAAAAAATATATATATATATTTATTCATCATGGTGTTACTGAGGAAATGAAATAATAATATTACATATAAAAGCTAATGAAATGCCTATCACATAGTATGAGTTCTATAAATGTTAATTACTACTGTGTATGTGCATTTATATATATATATATATATATATTTCATATATTTTGCAATAATCTTTCTAAGGAGACATTAATATTCTTTATTTTCAGAAGCTCAGAGGGATTATATAATTGTGCATTAGCATTTCATCCCATGACCATCAATAAGAATTAACTTCTGAAGAAAAAAGTAAACTACTTAGTTTATTAATGTGTATTTTCCATATTAATACTTTTTAAAAATAAATGCTTATAATATATAGCTTCATAGATGTGGGAAAAGATGGTTATAGAAGTAGTTTTTGCAAATATTTATGCCATTGTAATGTGTATACATAGTTTGAAACAAAAAACATTATTAACAGATAGTTCTATAGAATTGAAAATCAATTGTGGTTGTAAATCATGAGTTAGGGAAACCGAAATATAAAGTGTATCTATCATAGGAGGGCTATACAATAAATGTATTATTATTTTTTAAATTTTTTTGAGTGAAAAAACAATACTATTTTATTTTATAGCTTCATGGCATTAAAGTAGTTGGCATTCTGAATATATATGAATTCTAAAGAACATAATCTATTTACCTGAAAATATTCCAAATTTTTCTAGGACTTTAGAGAAGATATAAGGAGCACTACTCACCTCTTTATTAAAGTTGTATATAAGCAGAATGTATGAATGCACAATTAGTGATATATTTGGAAGTAAAGTTTTTGAAGGTTTACTCCACTAAATACTAAGTTATCAGTTGCAAATAGGTGTTTTATTTTTGATTGTTTGTTTCCTTAAGAAAAAATGGTCCCAGAGACAATAGGAATTTGAAATTTAACAGAGCTAACCGATTTTTTTTTTTTTTTTTTAGATTTTTGCCCCAGGTCTTATGTGATAGCTGGAAAGAGACAAAAAACACACAGAGAGAGGAAAAGTGAGAAATCACCCTCCAAGGTGGGGGGGGAGGTGCGGCCATTCCATAGTCCCTTCTCCGCCAGATTCGTTTCGGGACTTTGGACATATACTCACATATTCCTGGTGTGTTTTTCACATGACTGGGACCAGGACTTGAACTGCAGGGTAATACTTGTGGAATCTAGCGCCTTAGCCACTATACCATCTGTTGGCCTAATAAATTTCTCGAGATGGAATCTGTCAGAATTTTAACATGCAAATGTAGTTTAAATCTTTAAGAAGGGGATATAGTAGGTCATCGGGAAAATAATTAATTACATAATTTTCTCAGTTGTTTTTAATGCGAAAATTTGTCATGCTTTTCCTTTTCCTGATGACCCAATAGTATACACTTGTTTCATATTATAGATATATGTGTGTGTATATTTCATATATGTTACATGTATATCACCTTTTCCTTTCCCTCTCCTATTTCTCTCTTTCAGGTTTTTTTTCCTTTTCTTTTCAGAGTTTTTTTTTTTTTTTTTTTTTTTGCTATAGGGCATATGTAGTCAAGCAGAAAGACAGAGAGAGAGAGAGAGAGAGAGAAAAAAGAGAAAACACTTCCCAAGGAGTATGGCCATGCTGCAATCTCTTCTCCATTCTCTGCCGGGGATTTTGGGCACACACAAACACGCAGCTGGGATGAATTTTAAGCTGCTGGGTCCAGGACTCGAACTGTGGTTGACCACACGGAAATCCAGCACCTTAACCACTATGCCACTTCTGCCCCTCTGGTAGGATTTCTTAACCTAAGCTCTATTGACAGTCTTAGCTGGAGAATATTGGAGCGTGTGTTGGGGAGAAGGCTGTGCAGTGCATTATAAGATATTTGTCAGCGTCTTTCACCTCTGTTTACTAGGTGCCAGAACAAAAAAAAACTCCAGATATTACCTAATATTCATATACCTCTTGGGGGACAAAATAGCTTTTGGTAGAAAACTACTGACATGAAAATATGTAAAAATTTTACTTTGTTTTTCATATACTAGGGACCTGTCACTTTTTTAGGAGTTGTGACCATCAAAAAGCTGTTCATTGCTATGCAACTCACAAGAAGAAACTCATCTCAAAATTGGATAAAAGAGTCATAAATCTGAAATTCACTCAAAAACGGTACTAAACTGAAGAACCAGTTTGATATAAGCCAATCTTGTATCTTTCCAAAGTATTATCCAAAGTAAACCCTTAGATTTTGCTGTTTCCCTCATGAGGTTTGGACAACAGAGGAGAAATTCACTGGGGTAGAACAAGAGCCTACCAACTGTGTACTCACATCTCAGGAATCACAAAGGTTTTCATAGGTCTCTTGGGGGAAGTACTTTAGAGAAAGGGGGCAGTAGGAATTTAATGCAAGCTTATCAGTCTATGAAGTAACCTTTTTAGAACAAATGCATGCGTGTGTGTGTGTGTGTTCAAGAAACAGGCCAAAATGGTGCATGTGTGTGTGCTCCTACATATGCCTGTATTCTAAGAAATGGAGGCAGCAAGGTTGATAAAGTCCTCCAATAGTTGTCATATGCAAATACTACTGAGAAATTGTATTGTTTTCCTATCAAAGAAACGAATTTCTAGCTATGCTGTAACAAGAACACAGAAATCACCACCCAAAGCACAATTTTAATATATGCAAGATAACAAGCAATTCAAAATATTGAGAACTAAAACAGCTTTTACATTCCTCTAGGAAAATATTTTGTTTATTGCTAGAATTGACTTTGACTCCTTATCAAATCAATCTAAAGCATTAGAGGAAATTGTGTTTCAAGACTGATAAAAGAGAGGGAAAATAATGAAATCTATAGGTGATATAATTTTGGGGGAATTCAAGATAGAAATTTTGCTCATTGAGACTCAGCAATGCAGATTAAATAGAAAAAAAAAAAAACATACTTTAACCCTTGGTGGGTGAAGAAGGCTGCTGAAGAGCTGATGATTCTCAGCCGTGAGTACCTTCTGGACTCTTGATGACAGCCTCCAGCATAGAAGCAGAGATGAGGTGGCATATTCTCGTGGCCTCCATTGTATTTTTGTCAGCACAATAGGTGGTTATTAATGTTTGGAGGCTCGTTCCATGGTGCCGTGGTAATGCACTGCTCAAGGAAAACTGGATCTCATAGGGAAACTACATTCAAATCCCCAGTCTCGTCAGCCTGAGGGAGATCCAACAAGCTGGAGGACTGGAGGAAGGAGATCATGGCATGACTGGATCCAGTAGAAGGTGCTCCTCTGTGTGTGTGCGTGCATGAACATGTGTCTCGCTCTCACATGCATGCTTGTTTGCCTTATGATGAGGAAAGAAAAATGTATTTTGAGTAATTGAAGGATGAGTGAGCAGTGTTTGAATTTTGTGAGATTCAGAAGTGTCCCTTGGAGCCCAGCACTCTGCTCCAGAGTCACCCTGTGTGAATTTTTTTTTTTTTGGAGAGATTTTCACTGTAGGGCGCGTGCGCTCGCCAGACAGACAGAGAGAGACATAGAGACAGAAAGCGAGAAATCACCCCCCAGGGGGGATGGTAACGCCGCAATCCCTTCTCCTCCATTTTCCTCTCGGGATCTTGGGCATGCACGCACACGCGCCCGGCGTGAGTTTCAAGCCACCGGGTCCGGGACACGAACCGCGGTCAACTACGTGGGAGTCCAGCGACATAGCCATTACACTAACTGCTGGTTCCCCCCTGTGTGATTTTTTCATAGGCCCAAGTCACTTAAAGTTAGTGCTCACATCTGAGCATATCCATGACAATTACTCTTATTAAATTTCAGCTGTTGGTCTACTTAAACTCCCTTTCCCCCCAAAAAATCCACAGCCCTTGCTCGTCTACAGTCTATTAGAGAGAATATGTGAACATAAGCTAAGAAAACGGGGTCCAAGGTTGACTTTTTCTCTGCTTGACCATATATGTAATAAACCACTGAGGCCTTCGGTTGTCACCCTGCAATATTGCTCATTTGTACAATTAATTTTTAAAGAGGAGAATACAATTTCTAAAGATGATGACTCTAGTTTAAAAGTTTACCTTTCAGAGTGATGAAACCTATCTATAATATCTATGGAAATGAAATAGCTCCTAAGTAAGAAGGTAACTCTTTCTCCACCAGGAAATCATCATTGAAAAAGCGGTTCCAATGTGGTAAGATTGCAAAAACAATTAACGAATCAAAGAATGATTCAGTTGGATACCAGAGTTATCACATTACTTTATATGGTTTTTGCAAGCTTTATAAAACTTGATTAGAGAGCTATAGAATTATTTAATTAGTTATAGAAAAAGTGGTAATGTTATGAGTATGGAACGGGTTGGATGTGAGAAAAAAATTGAGTTTTATTCCCATTTTAGCCTGTATCCTACTTGGATGTATTTGTGAGACACCCAGTCTCAGTTCCATACCTTATACTGGAAATGAATATAATGATAATAGAGACTTCCCCAGCATTAAAAATATAATGTTTTTAAACTGCATAGAATAGGCCCCTGCTTCATGTTAAGTGCCAGATAATTCTGAAATAATTCTTATTCTCTTAGTTTGAAAGCACTGCAATTAGTAGTAAGCAGAGATTAAGCTGTACACATAGTTTATGCAGGAATTGAAAAAAACATATTTTTAACCAATTTTGGAAGAGATCTTTCAGTCAAAAGATTACATGAACTTTATCATGTTTGCTTAATTTATCTCTCTTTGCAGGCCCGAAAAATTTGAGCTGGTACTTAAAACAAACACATAGTCATTGCATCAAAGTATTCATGGATATTTTAAAGAGAGAAATAAGAAATATTTAAAACTTTCTTATGAAAATAATAAAAAGATCTGTATTTACATAGAAGTAGAACCTGTTTTCTGGGGCACATGTGTTCTCTGGAGAAAAACATCAAGAAAGAGAAAGAAAGCAAGAAAGCAGCCCTTATGGGAGATGCAATCCTTTCTTCTCCATTTCTCTTTTGGGGATATGTGGACATGAATGTACATGTATCTGGCATGTTTTTCAAGTCACTGGGTCCAGGATTCAAATTGTGCATTTGGCTATGTGAGACCCAGCTTTCTTAACCACCATGCCACTGACTGGCCCTAACTTTTTCTAATTTTTAAAGAGAAAAATACCCAACACTGTAAACTTAAAAGTACATGAAGAAAAACACATGCAAATAAAGCCAACATAGTATTATCACTAACAGTAATGTTATAATATTTTAATATTGGAGACATCTGTCTATAAAATTGTATAAATAAAGAGGATATTATTTTGAATTTGTCTTACTCTTCCGTTAGACTTTCTTTGTTACTCGTGCTTTAAGTATATAATTTATGTAGTGAGATTACTACTCCCTAAGAAGCACAATAATTCAAATATAATTATTTGCCATGCCAGAAAAAAAGCTCCACAAAAATTATGTTCATAAATAATGAAATTAGTTGCAAACAGGAACAAGATACACAAAATTCTTAAAAGTGAGATCCATTTTGTCTGTCAAGGGAATTCAACAAGGTTGAATTGTGCTATTGTATACATAAAACTGAACTGCTCAAAGGACTAAAATCTACATATGTAAGAAAATGCTGCAATAGCAAGGAGATGGACTAAAATATCAAAGGCTTTTCTCATTTTTGATGGCCAAATTCCATCGTGTAAGCAGTGCATTAGACGCTAATGACATACGATTCCTCACTGACAGATTTAACAGCATCAATAAGGCCTCTCTGTCCATTGCAGCAAATTGATCCTACATGACACTGACAAGGGCAGCCTGCACTTAATGACCTCCATCGCTGAAGAATGGAAATGAAAAATGATCGGAAGTACAAATAAATCTTTGAAAGTTTCCCTGAAACAGGTGTGCTAAAAGTGATTCGTTTGAGGAATTGCAAACAATCCTGATCTCCTAGCATCCTCCATTGCCTTCCTACCAGGGTCTCATTCCTTATATCTTTGCTTTAATTCTACAAATGAGATCAAGAAAATTTTGTTCTCTCTTTGAGAATATAGTGTAGGGCTCTCTTTAAATGCATGAGTTTTTTACCATTTATGAAGATATCCAATATATTTGTTGTTTGACACCAAAGGATTTGGTACAAGCTAATAATAAGTATACACAGAATTTATTTTTGTTTTCTCCCAAATTAGAAAAGAACGTACAATGTAACCATTTACAATTTTCTCCTCAGTCATCAGCAACAAATGCACCATGGTTGATCTCAATAAAAATATTATGTGCATGAAATAGTTGGACAAGTACCCCATGAATGTATAGATGTCCTTTCTTTGAATCCTGCCCAGTAGCATGAGTACACTTAGATGTTGGCAGATCGTTATATTATCAATTCTTTCCCAAAAGCAATTTTTCCTTGATCTATCTCCATATATATACTTTTCCAATACAAATTTTGAGAGAAAAATGTGCATTTCACTTTCTCAATGTATTCAGAAGCCTTAATGCCCATGAGAGTAGATGGATAGAAAACATGGGGAAGTTTACAAGTAGCCTATCAAGTTATGTAATAGTTATTTACAGTGGGAAAGCCTTTCTTTATTTTCAAAGTAACAATGAATGTTTCCTTTGTATTCATTACCAATTAGTCTGTGAGGTAAATATTATTTTATAGAAGGGAAGACAGAAATAGAAAAGGATAAATTATTACCTCAAATCACTGAGCTTTTGCCTTCCCAATTTTCCATAATACTGAGAGACAAGTATAATACTAAAATTCTAAATTATAGTTTATGTAACAAGAATATTATGGGCAATGCCAATAAGAAAAAGAAATACTTTTAACAGTTTAGCTAGATGCATTGTTAAGTAATTATGCTGTTACTTTCGGAAATTCAAATCATGGAGGCAAAGAATCAAAAAATAAATTTCCCTGTCATTAAGTATCTGGAGAATGGGACCAGCAGTTGACGTAATGGCTATGTCACTGGATTCCCATGTAGTCAAACATAGTTTGAGTCCCAGACCTAGTGGCACAAGATCCCAAGAGGAGAACAGAGGAGAAGGGATTGTGGCATGGTCGTCCTCCCTGGGGGGTGATTTCTCACTTTCTGTCTCTCTGTCTCTCTCTGTCTTTCTGGTGAGTGCATGTACCCTGTAGCAAAAACCTCTCAAAAAAAAAAAAAAAAAGTATCTGGAGCCTGGAGACTATAGAGGAAGTGGCCATATCTTAACACTCTAGTAATGGAGATTTTGCTCCTTTTTGATTGACTGCATAGTTTATTTTAGTTTCACCGTTACAGATTTTATAATATATATTCAGAATTCCCAGTGATTTCCAGCAACCTGAGGATCAGATGTTTTTCAGTTTCTAATCAATCACTGTATCTAATAAGAGAAGCAAACCTGGGGTTTGGAGCTTATATACCAGGAGGAAGACTTAGATGTTTACCATGGGAAGTCACCTACAGTTAGAATTGAAATTTGAAGTCTATGATAAATATTTAAATTTATAAACCAAAGAAACATGATATTCCTGGCCATTGTAATTTATTTTTCAAATATTCTTTCAAATTTCAATTTCAAGGCCAGATGTGGTGGCATCCTCCAGGGTCTGGAGGCCACTTGGGTGGACCCCAGGTTTGCTTCAGAAGGTCTCCATGTAGCCAAACATGTACATGCATGTTTGCCATCCTGGTTGACTGGGTCAAGGGATAGATTATGGCCTGGAGACCAAGTTGGCATGTCCCTCTCTCTTTCTCTCTTTCACTCTCTTTGTCTATCTCATGGAATACATAGTAAACTTTAAAACAATTCTATTTCCAAAGGATAATATAAATATATAGCAAAACTTTCCAGAAGTAAAACATGATACTTTGTGTCATCAGATTGGAGACTCCAAAACTTAACTACTTTTTACTATGTGTGGGGCATATGTGAAGGAAATAATTATTTTTTTAAAAATTATGAAAACCATTACCTGTTTCTTGTCTCTAATTGAGGCTTCAAATGATAGATTTCTATCAAAGAGACTGAAATAATTGTTCTTTTCTCTTAGGAAAGCAAATTGCATCTTCTGATACTCTTGTGCTAAACGTCGATTTTCTTCCAGTGAATCATCTTCCAATTTCTAGAAGATAAATAAATATATATACACACACAGGTAATTAAAAGCATTTTAATTTATTTGATTTTTTTAACATCTTTTGAATTATCTCAACATGTTCTACTTTATATGGCTAAAAACCAACAACATTTCAAATAAATGCTTCCCCTGACACCAATATCCTCCTTGGATTTCATACTTTTTAAAAAATAATTGTCAGAGGGCATGTGCACTAGTCAGAAGGAGAGAGAAAGGGAGACATTAAAAAGGCAGCTCCAGAGGGGCATAGTCATGCCCCAATCCCTTTTCCTCCAATTCTCTTTCCAATTGGGATTTTAGTCATCCACACACTTGTGCCTGGTATGTTTTTCAAGGTGCAGGGACCAGGATTCAATATATGGTAAGCCATGACTGAGCTCCCAATGCACAGAACTTAACCACTAATCTATGGGGACAGCCCAGTAGTTTTCATTTTTGATGCAGGTTGCTTTTGCTTTTTGCAACACTGGTGTGTAATTCATCAGAGTTTGTCTAACTTTTTTTTTTTTTTTTGAGAGCTTTTTGCTATAGGGCACATGTGCTCGCCAGACAGAGACAGAGACAGAAAGCAAGGAATCACCCCACCCCACCCCCACTCCATGAGGGATGGCCATGCCTCAATCCCTTCTCCTCCATTCTCCTCTTGGGATTTTGGGCACGCAGGCACACGTGCCCGGCGTGAGTTTTAAGCCACCGGGTCTGGGATGGGAACCGTGGTTGACTACATGGGAGTCCAGCGACATAGCCATTACACTAACTGCTGGTCCCAGAGTTTGTCTAACTTTTGCTCCACTTAGACTGCCCTTTTCCAGGACTTCCCTCTATCATGCCTTGGGAAGTTACCAGTCCAGGGAGCCTATACTCAGCATCTCAGTGGCTTTCTTCTAGTTTCACATCCTCTTTTCCTTTCCCTTACCCCCAGCTCTCAAATAGGTAGAAGATTTCAGAGCCCAGGCTCTGATGTCCAAGAGGTATAGAGTGCTGGCACTCAGACAACATTCAAAATATAAAGGGTTAAAGAGTAAAAGGTAAATAAGAAACAACACTTAGAAGCATCCAGAGTCATTATTTGATATTAATATAGTTTAGTTATATTAAATGTTAAATTTGTTTCTGTGAGTAATGAGAATTTTATAGTACCCTCTGCTCTAGGACTACATAAACAAATGTCAAATCTAATATAAAAGTTTTAGGAAAAGAGTTTCTATTATTACCAATTGGCAAATTTGGGCTAGCTATAATTTTAAATAAGATGCATGAATTACTTTTATGTTTATTGTGCAAAAAACGTAATCTGATTTCTTCCAAATATTTGGAATATATCAACAACATTGAATATTTCCGAACTCTTAATCTAGTAACTCCTCGTGAAAATCTTGTGGAAAAAAAATTTCATTATATTATTTACAATAGTGAAAAAGTTTTCAAAACACACAAATGAAGACTGTTATGACAATGATAACATTACTTTATATAAAAATAGCCATCATGAAGCAACAAAAAATGTGGTCTTTTTTTTTTCTTTTGTGTGTGTGTGTGTGAGACAATTGCCGTCACACCAAAACTTTGGTATAGTATAAGTTGTTAAAAAAATATATTGCAGTATGAGGATGTGTACAGAGAAAATGTAATTCAGCAGAAAATTGACTGTGCAAATATTTCTGTATTTATTCACGGGAAGATTTATTAAGGTCAACAGGCATATTTCTCTTGAAAGCGTGGTATCCATATTGATTTCTAATGATTAATATTATGTCACAGTTGTTCTTCAAAAAGTCACAATGATGAACTGAGATCCACTTTAAATGCCCTTGTCCTAATTCTGGCACATAATTTAAAACTTTAGAAAATTCTATGTAAATAGTAAACTTGTCTAAAAATCACATAGAATTATCTTTTGTTAGAAGCACAAGGTTCTATGAACACTTTTCTTTGCTGGATACTTTTAAAAAGATGACTATGATACTTTTTAATCTTTTTTTCCAAACTTTTTTATTGCATATTTTTTTTTGTCTTCTGATACTCTATATTTTTAATTTTCTTTCTTTTTTTTTTTTTTTATTAGCTTGCTATAGGACATGTGTGCTTACTGGAGAGAGATGGACAGAGAGAGTGGGAGAGAGATAGTGAAAAAGCACTCCCAGGGGGATGATCATGTGGCAATCCCTTCCTCTCCTCTCTCCTCTTGGTATTTTGGGCATGCACACATACCCACCCTGGTAGGTCTAGGATTCAGACCCCCATAGTCGGCCATATGGGATCCAGCCACCTTAAGCACTATTCTACCTGGTTGGCCAGATTTTTGATATTTTAAAACAAATAGTAAAAGCGAGTGCTCAAGATACTGACTCAGAAAAATTATTTTTTAGTTTATTTATTTACTTCTTCAATGACAGAGAAAGACAGAATCAGAGTTGTGAGATGAAACCATGGTTAAATACATAAAAAATTTCAAGTGTAAACAGAATACTATTATTTAAAATTTAAAAAAAAATACTTAAACTTTATTACATATCTCATGGTCACTAACTTCCAGGAATTGGCAGTGAACTGTCAAATCCTTCTATACATTTATAACTGGGAAAACGATAATGTAAACTATTATGATGTAGCAATGTTTTTAAGATTAACTGGTATAATCATACAAATTAGTTTCTTTGTACCTGCTTTAATTATAGTATATATAGTGATAATAACTGTTGTTATCCAGAATTAAAAATAGAGTCTCTAATAGTCTCTTCAAATTTCAATTCATTCTCCTGCTCACTCAGTCAGGACATTGGGCACTGACACTCCTGGTGTGTACAGGGAGATCTCGGGGCATTAACTGGGAACCTTCCCATAATAAGACTTCAGCATTGCAAAATGTTGTGTTACTCCTATGACACGAGGTTGGCCTGCCATAGAACATCAACACATGTTGTACTGGAACCATGTTTGTTTGCTTGACCTAACATAAGCACAATTCATATCTAAGATATGCTATGTTTTGGTTATTTTTCTTTTAAGTCCTATGTAGCTTCTATAAACATCTGATTTTAGAAGAATGCTCTGAAAGTTGTGGATTTGCATTAAATCTGTTTAATGAAACTTAACTGGAGAAATATTTGGTAATTTATGCTTTGCTTACTGTATAATATGCAGTTTTATTTCTAAGTGCATATATTTTTAATTCTGGATGACAACAGTTCTTATCACTATATATACTATAATTAGATCAGGTACAAAGAAATTAATTTGTATGATTATGCCAGTTAAACTTAAAAACATTGCTACATCATAATAGTTTACATTATCATTTTCCCAGTTAAAAATGTATAGAAGGATTTGACAATTCACTACCAATTCCTGGGAGTTAGTGACCGTCAGACGCTTAATAAAGTTTAAGTTTTATTTTTTAAATTTTAAATAATAGTATTTTGTTAACACTTGAAATTTTTCTATGTTTAACCATGGTTTCATCTCACGACTCTGATTTATTTTATTTTGACCAGTAGTATTATAACATGCAATGGAAATAAAGCAAGAATGATAAAAACTGGTGGAAATGAGTGCGGGGGGGAATGACGCCACCACTACTGAAACTTGAACAGCTCATGAAAGGATGGCAGTAGAACATATTTAGCAAATGTCCAAAATGGAAGTTGGAGATGTAATAAAAGGGTGAGAATAAAGACTATAGCCAAAACTAACAAGATAAGTAAGATGATTACAGGAACTTTTAAATTCAAATCTAACTGAGTCTTTTTAGTCAGATCTTTTTTCCTAAAGTCTTGGGTAAATATGAACCTGAATATATTTGGGGGGCTCTAAAACTGTTAATAAAAATTTTGCAACCTTTTAGGGTAAAATAACTACATTCTAAGTTGGCTTGCAGAATTATTTTATTAATTCCTTCATTCGTTTTATTCAAAATTTTTCATTTAGTAACTACTAAATAATGCCAGACTCTGAGCTAGGAGAGTGAGCCTCAAAGGATCTGTAGTCTTGCAGGAAAAATCATTAACATTACACAAATGTGTGAAATTCTGAATCTTTTTTGTTTTCAATATATATTAGATTTATCCACAGGGTATATAAATGTATATATTTTATCCAACCTAGATTTTTATTATTTATTCAATTCTCTTTATTAATGATTATCAAGATGATAGAAAGAGTTTGATAAAGAGGTGAAAAGTGTCTGTTATTTGTTTCCATATTGTCTAAAATTTAGTAAGGAAAATACTTAGCTCGAGGATGGCTTATTCTTTATTATTTCAATTTTTATTTCAATTTATTTGCTAAACTTTGTTACTAGGAAATATGATGGCTTTTTATCCCAATATTTTATTAGAAAATAAAGATGATAAGGGATGAACAAAATTTATACTGTAAATTTTATGACGGTTGAGACTATCATTTTGTTCATGCCTACAACATAAGAGGACTTCAGAAAGTCTGTGAGAAATAAAATGAAAATATGAGTGTATTTTGGTGCAAAAAATGTTTGAAATATATGCATAATTTTAAAAATAATATGCTTTCCATGAACTTTTTGAAGAACTTTTATGCGTTACACACAGTAGAACTGGCATTACTACTTAATGTCACAGATTTTTAGCAAATGAATAAATATGCATAATATCAATTAGGAAATGCATGTATTTTATACTTTATACCCACTCATTTTTCCACTTCTAAAAAATAACCCATTGACACTATAACTATATATTATAATGAACCACATTCATTTATGCTACTTAAGAAGTAAAGATCATAAATACATAATAAAATTCAGATAATATGTTTTTGCACTGAAAGTTATTCTAAGGATAGACCACACTGTACATGTTTAGCAAAAAATCTTTATTTGAGGTATATTATTGACTTTCACAAGATATGTAAAAATCTTTTTTTTTTTTTTTTTTTGGCTATAGGGCTTGTGCGCTCGCCAGACAGACAGAGAAAGATAGAGAGACAGAAAGCGAGAAATCACCCCCCCA